CCCCCCCCCTTCTCTCTATCAAACGTGACTTAACCTCCCCTTCCCGGGTTGGGGTGGGGTGGGATGTAAAAAGGTTTCAAGGTTGTTCCCAGCTTTAAAAATAAAGGTGGGAATAGCTGCGCATTTAATGTTTAACCTTCTCTGCCTCGTAGGCAACGTAGCTCAGATAAAGAGCTAAGGTTTGTTTGTTTTGTTAAAGAAAGCTTCGGGTGGCTTTGATAATTTAATGGAAAAACCATCTTCTCTCTTCTTCCTTCTCCCCTCCCCGGGCCCCCCACCAAATCCTTTTTCCTCCCAGCCTCCTAACTCTGCAGTCTGAGGTAATTCAACTCAGGAGCCCCGCCGTGGATCCGAGGGTTTGGCTGCTTGAGAAATCTAGGCTGGGAAAGGGAGGGAGAGAGAGAACGAGAAGAAGGGAGTGAGAATGAGAGAGAGAGAGAACGAGAAAGGGAATGAGAGAGAAAAGGAGAAGAGAGAGAAAGAGAGAAAAGGAACAAGAGATAAAGGAAAGAGAGGACGGCAGAGGACAAGAAAGCGAAGGAGAGAAGGAGAAAGAATGAGAGAGAGAACAAGTGAAAGAGAACGAGAAAGGAGAGAAAGAGAACAAGTGAATGAGAGAAAAGGAGAGAACGAGACAGAAAGAACGAGACAGAAAGAACGAGGGAGAGAGAACAAGAAAGAGAAAAGAGGGAGAAAAGGAGAGAAAGAGAAAAGGAACGAGAGATAAAGGAAAGAGAACGAGAAAGAGAGAACGAGAGAGAACAAGAAAGCGAAGGAGAGAACGAGAAAGAAAGAACGAGGGAGAGAGAGAGAGAGAACTAGAACGAGAGAGATAAAAAGAGAGAAAAAGAGAGAACGAGAAAGAACAAGAAAGCGAAGGAGAGAACGAGAAAGAATGAGAGAGAGCAAGTGAGAAAGGAGAGAACGAGAGAGAAAGAACGAGGGAGAGAGAGAGAACTAGAACGAGAGAGAGATAAAACGAGAGAAAAAGAGAGAACGAGAAAGAGGGCGAGAGAAAGAGAGGCAGACAGACAAATAGAGACCCAGGTCCACTTTTTACTTATTCTTTAAAAAAAGGGGGGTATCCAATTCCGCCTGTTTTATTTCAAGGACGCTGGCTTGCAAGCTTCCTAGATTCAGACGTGACTTTCCGGCCGGCCCGGTGGAGAAGGTGCGAAGCCGGCGCGCAATTACAACCCCCCCCCCCAATTCGGCGTCTGGGAAAGCCGCGGGTCTCCCAGGGCCGGCGAGAGCCGGACGAAGCACCCCTCAAAGCGCTCAGGTTTTAACCAGCGGGGTTCGGTTACCGCGTCGTATTTTACCCGAAAGGAATCGGCGTCTCGCTTTCCGCCCGCCCGCGCCTTCCCTTCCCTTCCCTGGGCAAGGATTCCCCCAAAAACGCAGGACTGGATCGCTCCAAACAAGCGGGGAGAAAAGATCGAAGGCTACGCTGGAATCCTTTTTTTTTTTGGGGGGGGGGGGAGAAACAAGGTCTTTCGGCGACCTCCCCATTGGCCAGCTGGCTTTGATTCCTTTCGCCTCCCCCCCTCCTCTTCCCCCCCCCCTCTCCAAGGCTATTTTCTACCTTTCCTGGAAAAAAATATTTTCTAACCCTGCAGTCTCAAGGTTGCCAATGATCAAGGCGTGCAGGGAGCAGGAACCAAAATAAATATCCTTTCAAAGGAAAAGAAAAAAAAACAGCCTAAGCTTTCATTTTATGCCGAATCAGGGTTTGCTGCCCCTTGCATTCAAGGCAACCCACCCATCCTCTACTGAGGAGGGAAAACGGGGGGGGCGGTAGGGGGGGTTAGCAAAGGAAGGAGGGGGAAGGTCGAATTGCGATTTCTGGCCGGGGCGGGGGGGACTCTGTAAAAAAAGGACTTTTGCTTTCAATGTAAAAGGGAAAGTGTTGGGTTTCTCGGTGCAAAACGGCCTCCGGAAAGGCTCCACGCGTGTAAAAAAAAAAAATCGCCATAAATCCTCTCGGTTGGAGTCCCGCTGGCCACAGGATTCCTACGGGATCGAGTGTGTGTGTGTGTGTGTGTGTCGGTGCGGGTTGATCCACACACCGCCAGACGCCGAGGCTTCTCCCTCCCTCTCTCTCTCTCTCTCTCTCTCTCTCTCGGGCGAAAATAAACTTCCTTTGAAACTGTGTCTGGACTTCGGGCCAAAATATGAAGAGAGATTTTTTTTTTCTCTCCCTCTCTCCTTTTTTCCCCCCGCTTTGCCTGGGTAAATCACGGCTCCCTCTCCCAAAATGGCTGAATTCCCGATTTTAATTAAAAACAGCCCACCCGAAGTGGGGCGGCGGGGGGAGAGAAGAGAAATGCCCGTTTGCTTCTGCTTTCTTTCCAAGAACGGGCGAAAAAAAAAAAAAGCAAGAAGTAAATAAATGGGGGGAAGAATTCCTTAGATCGTCTCTGTTGGAAGACCTAGGTGGAGGAGAGAAATGGGGGGAGGGGGTTTGATGCAAAACCCCATCCGACCCCTTTCTCGAGACCTAGAGGGAGGGGGAGAAAAGCTGCCCCCACAGCCAAGACTTTCCCTCTCTCCCTTCTTTTCCCTCCCCCCACTCCAAAAAAAAAACACCCTCCAGCCCTCGCAACTTGGAAAGTTGGCCGCGCCGCCCTTACCTTCGCTCCGAAGATGCCCTTACTGGCTTCCTTGCCCGATCCTCTTGGGCATTTTTTGAGGGGGGGGTCTCTGGCTTGCTCAGATCCGTTGCCTCCCTCACCATCAGCAAAAGGAAACCCCCTCCTCTTCTTCCTCCCCTTTCCCTCCCTCCCCCCCCGAAAAAAATGCCTCTTTCTGATTTTCGCCTCGGCGCGTAAAAATGCAACTGAAATGCGCCCTAGACGCCCGGCCGGGGTCGGTTTTTTTTTTCCTCCGTTCCTGGCCGTCCCTTGGCTCTTTGGGGTGGTGGGTGGGGGTCTCTCACGGGTGGCCCCCTCCGGCACGAAAGCAAGCCCAGGAAAGCGGAGGGGATCCGAGCTGCTGGGGGAAAAAAACCACGATTCCTGGCTTCTTTGGCTGCCTGAGTTTCCCCTGCAAAGCGCGCCCTGGCTCCCGCTGGTAATCCTTGGCGATCTCCATATACAACTCAGCGTCTGAAAAGGGACATTACTCAAGCTCCCCCCACCCTCCCCTTTCCAAGTTTCTCTCCGAGGATGTTAAAAAAAAAACACCAAAAAAAAAGAAAAAACCGGGGAGGGCGAGGAGAAAAGGGGGGAGGGGGGGGAGGAGAGCGAGGAAGAAAGAAACGAAGCAATGAAACGCGCATTGTTTCGGCCAGCCCGCCCCTCCGCACACTCGGAATGTCCTTCTGGCCTTCCCCATTGGCCGCCCCGCCTGCCACTCCCGCTCGTGGAAATACTTTGGCTGGCCGCCAACCTTATCAAACCAAATAAGGGGGGGGGGGGGGGGGGGGGAGAAGAAGAGGAGGAGGAGGAGGAGGAGGAGGCGAGCAGTTTCTAGCCTCCCCTAGCCGGCTTGGCTTGAATGAGCCAGGAGGGATGGTGAGAACTTTGAAAGGGCCGTTTCCAGGCGCCCCCTTTTCCAATCCCCCCCCCCTCCGCTCCGATTCAACCTTTTCTCTTTCTTTCTCTCCTCCCCACCCCCCCTCCCCAAGAACTCTTTCTTCCTTTCCCTTCCTTTTCTTCCTTTTTCTGATTCTTTTTCCCCCCCCTCCACTGATCTGGTCCGGTTGATCAAAACAGAGAAGGAGGGAGGAGAGAGAGAGAGAGAAAAAGAGAAAGAAAAACATGGTGGCGATTGGATTGCGTGGCCTTTTCACAGCGCGCCGCCCAGCATTTTTTTTTTTAAATGCCCTTCGCTTTCTCTATTTTTTCTTTTCCTTTTTCCTTCTTGTCTTTTTTCTTTGTAAAAAAAGGACTTTTCGAGTAAAGTAAGTCCGAGCCAGAGGCATTCTTTCTTTTTTTAAAAAGAGGAATTTGGAGGGAGGCTGGGAGGTTTTGCATCGGCGGGGAAGGCGGCGTGGGTGGGGGGGGGGGGGGAGGAAAAGGGTTCCTCGCCTCCTGGGTTTAGGGCCGGCCGCGCGTGGGGTGGCTGCGGAGCGCGTGGATTTTGATGTTTCGAGCCGGACAGCTTCCCCGCGGGAGGAAAGCGCGCGGCGACCCCCGTGGGGGTTTGACTGCCAGGTAAGCCAGCACCCGATCCCAGCCTCGGGTTGGGGGTGGAGGCCCGATCCCTCCTTTGTATAAGGGGGGGGGGTGTCCCACCGATTTCCACCCGGCGAAAGAGGCGGCCTTCCGTGGAAGCCGCCGACCCCTATTCGTAAGCCCGTCTCTCCGGAATCCCAGCCGCCGCCAAAGAGAGAACCGGAAAGCCGAGACGATGCGCCTTTGAGCGGAGTAAATAATCGGTTTATTTGGGTTTTTCTCTCTCTCTCTTTCTGTCCCCATCCTTTCCAAGTTTCAGCCGAAGCGGGGCTGTCATTGACCAAGAATTGTAGCCAAACTAGATCTACTGTACAGACATTACTTCAGGAGGGGCTTTTTTTGGGGGGGAGCGGCGAAAGGAGGGGGGCGTTGGACCCGAGCCAATAATTTATGATGAGTAAAACAAATAACTCCCATCCGTCACGGTCGGTTCCCTTCTTTTAAACAAAGTGGATTCAAGTCCAGCGGTCTTTGTACGCGTGTTGAGCTCAGAAACTGGGGGTGGGTGGGTGGGAGGTGGGGTGTCTATTTTCTCTCCTGGATTGCATTTATATGGGACCCCACCCTCCCCAAACCTCGGCTCCCTGTTCTAGTTCCTTCTCGAGCCGTCAGCGACAAAGCTCCGGATTCTCAAAATTCATATATATATAATATGTGTGCGCGCGCGCGTATATATAAATATATGTGTGTGTGTATCTCCATACATATACTCTCTCTATATATAGAGAGAGAAAGAGAGAGACAGAGAGAGTTCAGAAAGGCAGAAAGATCTTTTCCTCTTTTTTTCTTTTTTGCAAAAAAAATTCTTTTTCACCTTTTTTCTGTTTCACTCCAGAAAGGCTGGAAGGGGGGAACGCGCGCCCCCCCCCCCAAATTTGGCCTTTTTTTTTTTTTGTAATTCTGGGACACCATCCGTTTTCCCAGTGGGGATGCAATTCGGGTTCTTTTTCGCTTTTTTTCCTTCCTTCCTTCCTTCCTTCCTTCAGAAAAATGAAAGGGGGGAGAGGGAGAAGGCTAAGTATAAGGCGAGGCTCCTTTTAATTCGTTTGTTTGCACGGCAAAAAAATCATAAAGCGACGTGTGTGTGTGTGTTTAAATAAAATCTGTCGGAATCTCGTTTGGCTTTAAATACACTGGCAGTTTAATGCTTCAGGAAAACAAGATTGGACTTGGGATAGGCGAATGATTCATTTTTTCCTTTCGTCTAGCCTCGTTTTTTCTCTCTCTCTCTCTCTTTTATAGCATACCAACCATCGCTCGTAATCCGCCTGTATTTGCATACAGGCTCCCCGCGGTTTCCCCCGGGGGGGGGGAGGGAAGGGGAGAGAAGAAAAACGATCCTCTTTGGGGTTTAAGGACACCTACCCTCCCTCCCCGCCCTTCCTACACACGCCCCACTTCGGACTGGCCCCTCTCAGGTTTCAGGGCCCCTTTTCAGTCCGTGGAGTGGCGGATTTCTCGGCGGAAAATCCTTGGTTTGTCCCCTTGTTCACCCACTGGGCTTGTGTGGACGCCTCCTTGCAAATAAAATAAAATAAAATAAAAGCCGATGGAGAAAAATGCGCCTCGGGGTTATTTTCCCCCCCCATAATCGGCGTCTTTCCGGGGAACTGAAGCAGAATTTAAAAAGCGTCTTCTACACCTTTGGGGGGGGAAAGGGAGCCCTGGATTTGGGGAAGGGGCGAAGAAGAACCGGAGAATGAAGCCCACTTAGAATTTCTGGCTAACATGGGTTTAGTTCGGGGGGTGGGTGGGTGGGACGGGCTCTCTCTGTTTTCTTTCTATTTTTTTCCCCCCTTTCTTTTTTTCTCTTTGTCTCTTTCTTTCTTTTCTTCGGAATGGAGCCGTTTCCAATTACCCCCGCCAGCTCTTTCCTGAAGGCGGTTTCGAGGCTGCCCTCGTTGGGAAGCAGACAGGGGGAGGAAAACACGAAGGGGGGGGGAGGGACGGCGAGGGAGAGAAAAGGTGAGAGAAAAAAATAGCCACTGAAAATAGTAGTGTAAACTGAAAAGGAAAAGGAAGGGGAGAAAAAAGGGGGAGGAAAAAACACAGGCGAGGCTCCAAAGAAAACGGCTGCTAATTTTTGCATCCCTCTGTGTGTGTGTGTTTGTTTTAAACGTGCCCCCCCCACGCCCTTCACCCACCCACCCCCCTCCGCCCCGGGAGGAGGAAAGGCTGAGGAATTGGCAAGCGGGTGATGGCCGGGCTCCAAATTAGCGAGGATCAACGAGAGGGAGGTGTTAAGACGGGGAGGGGTTTCCCCACCCGGGCACAAGCAACCCCCCCCTTCCCCGTTCAATTGCCCCCACCCGGAGGGAAAAAAGAGAGAGCTTGCCACCCTCGCCCGCGGCGGCTCGGAGCTGGGTCAGCCGGGCGGGGATTTCGCTCGCGGGTGTTATTGTTGGGTGTGTTTGTGTGTGTTTGAAATGCTGCTTTTCCAAAGGTTTCCTTTTTTCTTCTCTCTCCACCCCGCCCCACCGTCCCCGGGCTACGCGATTCTTCCCGGGTTTGGTGCCCAGAGAGGGTAGCCTGCCTTCCACCCGACGCCCTAAAAATCTTCGGCTTGGCAGGGAGCGTGGAGGTCATCTAGTCGCGCTCCTTCCCCGGCTGCAGGAGTTCTCAGACCCTCCCGGAGAAAAGATCGGCCGTATTTATTTATTTTTCCTCCCCGTCCCGCCCCTCCCCCCCATCTAAAAAAAATCTCCCAAGGAAGGAAACAGCACCCAATTCTGGACGCGGGTTTTTTTGTTTTGTTTTTCCCACCCAAACGCCCAGGGTACGGCGGTGGGTGGCACTTGAAAACATTCCACCCCACTCACCCACCCACGTCTTTTCACCCGGAACGTCGGTCGGACCCTGCGGGTGGAAAGCCGCCTTGAAGAGTCCACGGGGGGCGAAAAGGCAGCTTGGAATTCAAACAAACAAAAAACAAAAACAAACCACGTCCGTCGGAAAAGGCGCTAGCCAAATCCTGATTTTTCAGCGTTTCATTTCCCGGAAACTTGGGGTTATTTGTGTGGAGGGGGGGGAGGGTTAAGAGGAAGGGAGTATATATCCAACCCCTCCGCCCCAGCCTCTCATTAATGACAGCTTCCCCCCCCCACACACACACAAAAAAAAGCTGTTGGAGAACCGCGCCCGCCTCGTAAAAAGCCCCAAATATAGAAATCCCGATTCTATCCAAGCGGGCGTCCTTGTCCGAGCCGGACATCCGACGGCCTTGCATTAACGTCGCTCTGTCCTTCGAGAGACCTTTCTTCTTCCTTTTCCCCCTCCCCCCCCCCCCCCCCCCTTTTCCCCTTCCCCCCCCCCCCCCTCCATCCTCTCCCTCCCCCTCCGCAAGTTTGGGGAGAATTAGAAGAGGGGGGGTGGAGGTTGGAGTTTCTTTACACCCCGTTCCTTTTACGCGCGCCTCGGGAAAGAGGGTGCCCGGATTCCCACGGCTTGCGGCGGCGCCTCCGTGGGAGCCTGGCAAGAGAAGGCAAGAAGGGGAAATGGAGGGAGGGGAGGGAGGGAAGAAGAGGGGGAGGGAGAGAAGGACAAGCTTGTCCTCGCCCCGAGCTTGTTCCTAGGAGACAACAACGCCAAGAGGACAGGGGCGGCTGTTTGGCCACGTCTCGTTGCGCCCCTCTCTTTCCCCGCATCACCCCAACTTTCTCCTCTCTTCTTCGGGGAGAGAGAGAGAGAGAGAGATTGGAAATCAGCCTACTAACTCTCTCTCTCCCCCACCCTCTGCAAGCCAAGATCCAAGGGGAGGGGTCGCTTTCCACGCGAGAGGAGGAAAAATAAATAAATTTAAATTAAAAACTCAACAACAACAAAAGAAACAAACACCAAAACACCAGTTAAGAGCCAAAGCTCGAGCTACGAAGAAGCTTCCCCTCCGTTGGGTAAGGAACGAGAGGCGGGGGGAGGGGTTGCTGGGGAGGGGGGGGGGGGGGGGGGCGGTCGGGGGGGGG